GATTTGGTGAATATAGGAGCTCCCTGACCGTGATGTGGTGGTTCTTTGTATATACCACTAAAAATTACAAATATTCCTGAAGAAATATATTTTGAAGTATAGCACCACCGATCTATCTTCATGTATATGTCATGAATTCTCCTGAAATCACTTGATTTAGAATTTTATATAATGAAATCAGGCTTAATTAAATCCCACAGTTCACCTCTATACGAATTGAATATCTTTGAATCCTGTAAAATACTACTTGTCGTAAGAAAGCAGATTAAAGTTCTGGATTCACAGACTTAGAAAAATTATCGAGATTCTGGAGTTCATCAGGAAAACACTCTCTAATTAGCCGGTATAGCCCGCCAAGGGCCTGCGAGCCCGCGGGCTGCCCATGGCTAGCTAATCAGATGAACATAGCAACTAGAATATGATAGATCACCTTCTGTAGCTCACTGATTACGCTGCTCAGGGGCTCTCTCAGCTCCCACTCTTTAGTAAATACCTACGTACTAGCTTGAATGAACTTTTTGTGAGTCCTCCATACTCTTTCTCTTATTCATGCTACTACGTGATTACTGTGATATCGTAATGTCATAAAGTCAAGCGTCCCAGTTCTGTGATACTCACCCATCATTTATAGATGACGCTAGCTTCTTTGAGACCTTATAACTACCTCCTTCGGACGACTTCCTACCTGATCTTTTGTTTAGCCAGCTAACATACTCAGTCGCACCGTCAATCAGCGATTCTAATCCTACTAGTTTCCCCGCTTAACTACCTCCTGCGATTCCACCCTGTCTTGAACAGATTAGTCTCTATCACGAGAGGAAGACTCGAACGTACATCATCTTTGAGATGGGAAAAGACTCAAATCTTTTTGTGGCGTGGTGGCTTTAGACAGATTTTGGGAGGAGTAAGTAAATTCATTGGGATGCGCCCTAACAATCTCCTGCTTGGCAAGGCTTCAAATAAGTAGCAGATGCTGAGGATGGAACACCAAAGGTTCTTTATACTGCCTGTCGAGCAGTTCAAGAACATCCAAAGGCCGGAGGGGGCTTATCTACGATGACACGACATTGTACTGGGGCTGGGTGTAAGCGATCAACCAAAAATTCCACCATCAAGCAGTTCATACAGCCGGTAATACCTGCCTTATTCTATTATCTACTAGCTTACTTACTAACGCTCTATTACTAGACCGGCCAGCCACCCAGCTCGCTCAATATCACGCAAGCAAGCTGGGAAGCCGCGCAGATCTGATTCATCACTGAATCCCGACTCCCCTTTCAACTACTAAGTCATCCTGGCTTCATTAATTTGATTCAAATGGCACAACATATGACATCGCAGCTAGACATTCTAAGTCCCAAAACAGCGCGGAGTCGCATACATACTACTGTTACCAACCATCAACAAGAGCTACTTCAGACGCTACTGAAAGACAGCAAGCTATCACTTGCCCTTGATTGCTGGACGTCTCCATTCTAACAGGCCTTTATGGCTATCACTGCCTACTTTGTCAATGATAACTAGAATTATCATGAGTTGCTCCTTGGGTTTGAGCCCCTCTCTGGAAAACACTCAGGCATGAATCTCAGTGCTGTGCTTCTGGAGCTTCTCTAAAAGCATGAGATAGCAGACTGAATCCTCATAGTCACTACTAATAATGCTTCCAATAACAACACGTTAATAGAGAGCATTTAAGACTCAATTAAGTGTCTTAACCTTGGCGGTGACATTCCAATCATCTAAGTTCCATGTCTCGCACATGTGATCCAGCTTTCTTTGAACAAGCTTCTTGGCCAAATAAAAGCAACCCCTAAAAATAAGGCTGCCGAATTACAATGGTTGGATGAACAAAATCAATCTATTCGCTCCCAACAAAAGAAACGGGAGATTATCAATACACTTAATAAGGTATGATACTCTTAAACTCACTAAGCGTGATACTAATTACTCTCGAAAAGGTCCGAAGCTTGGCTATCTTCATTAATGCTAGCTCACAACGTCGGGAAGACTTTTATGAACTCCAGACTAAGCTACCAAAGATACTACCAATCCAAGACGTCAAAACACGATGAAATTTGACATTTCTTATGCTCCGTCGTGCGAAACATCTCTGGTTGATTTTCGACCAGTATTGCTTGAAGTACAACCAGTCACATTTGATGCTTGACCAAGAGCAATGGCGCTAAGTCGACTACCTTTTATGGATCACCCAGCCATTCTTTAAGTATACAACAGCACTCTTGAAGACGAGAGATGTAACTGTGCACCTTGTCTTTACAATCTATAACCTACTTTTTGAACACCTGGAAAAATCAATACACTAACTTCAGCGAAAGAGAGTACCATGGAAAAAGCTTATGCTCACTGCTTTAGGCGCTGTAAGTGATAAGCTCTGATTCTACTACAGCCAGACCTATGAGGCCCATGGTGATCTTTTTGCAATTGCAACAATCCTGGACCCACAGAAGAAGCTCCGATTCTTTATAGGAAAGGATTGGACGAAAGATGATAAGGATGAAGAAGAATGGCATGAAAGGTATAAACAGAGCCTAGTTAACTACTTAAAGTCATACAAGCAATGGCTTTCAAGAGCTCATCAAACAAACACGCCTGAAGTCACTATCAATGAGGACTCCCTATATGATATCACTTCTGTGATACAAGAGTCGGCTGGGTCATCACAAGCAAAGGATCAAGACAATTTAACTCGTTATCTCGACAGTGGTAAGTGATATTCGTTATACGTCTTTTATTACTATGCTAATAAAGTGTATATTCTAGGCATACTCAAAGTTAAAAATATCCTGGGTTACTGGAAGGATCACCAGCAAGACTTTCCAGGGCTTGTAAGTGTTGCACACGACATCCTTTCGATCCCTGCCACCGGCGCTGGCGTTGAACGTCTATTTAACTCTGCTCAAGATGTCTGTCACTATTGCCGAGGCTTGCTCAACCCAACCATAATCCAGGAACTTATGATGTATAATTATACAACAAAGTTCGAGGTTGAGTCAAGCGATCTGGCCCTCTAAGAGGCATATCTCTCACAGCAAGAGATCGAAGCTGAGTGAGAAGAAAAGCAAGCCAGGCAGGTTCAAGATAAGCTTGATCCTATCAGTACTACCGAAGAAGATGATACAACAACCTCGCAGGAGTAGCAACAGCCTACAACCCAACCTACTTCAGAGCGTGTCACGAGTAAGCGACGAAGGAGCGCAGTAGTATCTAATGGAGAAGGAGAGCGACAGGAGAGTGTACAGTCTGATAATGAAAGAGACCACCCTCTTCCGGAGACTCAACAGCGTGTCTCGGGGAGGAATCGCAAGCGCGCAAGACAAGGAGATAGTTAGTTTATAGAGTATTAGTCTTAATCAAGATTCAAGTATTAACCAGAGTAATTCCCTGTGCTTCATCTACAAAAGTATCATACTAACTACGCATAATACACGCATTAACTGGCATTTTTGACTGAATTGAATACAACTGAATACCATTAAATACTGTTAAATACTACTCGAAACTGCATAATTAATGCATATTGAAAGAATCACATGTTTGTCTTGTTTAAAGGCCCACAGGCCGGGCTCAGAAGCCCGTGGGCCTAAGGTCAGGCCCGTAGCCCGTGGGCTGGGCAGCCCGGCCCGCCAAGAAACGGCCCGCGGGCTTTTTCAAGGTCTAGCTGTTTAAGGCTATATGCAGTGATCATAAAGGGTTATATAAGGAATGCCATATTCATATACAACCTTAGTGAAATTTAGTTTTTCTTAGGCTTAAGCAGCTTTGCAGGCCTTAATCATATAAGATTTATTAAATTTAATAGATTTAGGCATGTTAGGTGGTGGGAATAACTTCAAAATGAATAATAGTAGGTAAATCTACAGTTATGGTGAAATCTACAGTTATGGTGCGGCGCACCCACACCGCCAAGTAGTGTAGGTGCATATGTGTTGGAAACTGCTTTACCATCATGAGTTCAGAAATTACTAGTATTTTGCATACAAAGTAAAAAGTAATAAAGGTCTGATTTTTTCTAACTACAGGCTATCTAATGTACCTTTTATACTACTAGAATAGGGGCTATCTGATGATATCTATGTATACTAATATCAGGGGTAAGAGGTTAGATCCTTCCAGAGTAGCAAGATCTAATGCTGTAAAGGGAAGGTTAAATCAATATGGAAAGAATAAGTAAGAAGGGAAGAATAAGCAAATCATCCAAAACAGGTAAGTAGTAAGTTATATCAACAATATGGCACAGATATCTGGACAGGCTGCTTTGGTGTGGATCTAGTACCCACCGACCTCGCTTTCGCCAGCTTCAATATCCGACTGACCACCATGACCTCAGATTTATCCGCGACAATCCCCAGGTTGTGCATCTCGATGCTTTTTCATGATTCTAGCGTCGCAGTTAGTGGCGCACTGCACATATCCTCTACGCGTTGGTTACCAATCCGCTGCTGGGAGAGAAAGTTCAAGTCCGTGTACTCAATCGACCAGTCTTTTCATCAAAGGCGAGTCGGCGCGGCACATTATCCAGGGTGATATGAGATAGCGCCTGCTTGCGAGCCACCCGAAATTCGAGGCGCGTCTTGCGAGTTGTTGGTTGCGCTGAATGAAGAGCACAGCTGTGGTTCGGTTTGCTCCTGCAGAGTCCCCGGCGGCTACGAGCATTGGCGATCCGCCAATGATGCTCATGATGTGGCCGGAAAAGGGGACACTACGCGCTCAGTGTTGTATTATTTGAAGACGCTGTCTAGCCCTCGCTGGATTTTATTATCAGAGAATCTCTGCAGAAATGCATTATCAGGCTTTATCAAGATTAGTCCACCCCATTGTCTGACTCCATACGCGCGAGGCTGAGACCCAGGTATCCTGCACAAAGCACTGCAACTTGTCACCAGCACCAGCTTTGCCCCGTCCTTGACTACTATTTAAGCAAGGAAGGAGCCACTTATGGCTCATTACACTTTACGGAAAAAGTGGTATAAGTATCAGTTATGGCTGCAACACACAGTCTCATCCAGAATGCATTCCAGGCAGCCATGCATGAGTTTCAAACAAATCTGAACAACGATGAAGTTTACACCAAGCTCCTTGCAGTAACGTCCATTGATGAGGTTTATGACCTGACCGACAAGCTTCAGGCTGGTCAGGGCAGAAAAGGACACCTTCGCCATCTAGCCAAGATTGAGCCTTACCTCAACCGCCTCCGAGAATATACTGGCGTCATTGATACTTTTGTGCAGGTACATCCGGAAATCATGGCATTGATCTGGGGTCCGATCAAGCTGCTACTGCAATGGAGTAGCATTTTGAAACAGTCATTTGACGCGATTGTGGACACAACAGCAGACATTGGATTGTTGTTGCCGGAGTTCCAGGAAGTTGCAGTCTTATTCTCACAAAATGCCGGGATCTATGATGTTCTGGTTCTGTTTTTCAAGGACATCCTAGACTTTTATCAGGTTGGCTTGAAGGTCTTCACAATGCCACGTACGTTTGGAGCACATGTTGCATGGAAGTCTGATGTCTGCTTATGAGCTGACTATGATCTTGCTTGGTGCAGGCTGGAAATACTTTTTCGAGTCCTTGTGGCCGCGGAAAAAAGAGTACATCAACCTGGTGAAGACCCACATTGAAAGACACGCTCTGCTGATGCGGAATGAAGTGAGGTTGGAGCATATCCGCGAGGAGCATGATGCTCGCTTGAGGGCCTTTGAGCATTTCAAGAATGCTGAAAAATCACAACGTTTGCAGCAATTTTACGCTATCAAGGCGGACATGAGTCCCAAGTCATATGACGATAAACTCAACTGGTACCATAGCCGTGTCTGTGACGGTACTGGGACTTGGTTGTTTCAAGACGACGTGGTAAAAGATTGGTTGGATGTCAGTGGTGGTTCTTCAAGGGTCCTCTGGCTTCAAGGAATTCCAGGTGCAGGTTTGTGTAGCCCCCCATCTCCATTTTGGCCATGAATAACAGAGGCCGACGTCCAGGAAAGACATTTCTTGCGGGTGGCATGGTGGACAAGGCGTATACCATCGGCCATACTGCCTTCGCCTTTCTCAGTCACGCCTTCAGCAGCAGCACTTCAGCTCTAAGTGTTCTACACTCGCTTCTATTTCAACTCGCCTCGCAGCACGAGGATCTCCAAGATGTACTCTGCCACTCAACCAATGAACAAATCAAGAGCAATGTTACCGTGGCAGTCGATACACTCAAGGCCGTTCTGGACTGCGCCGGCCACGTCTTTCTCATTATTGATGGGTTGGATGAGATAGACGTCATTGAGCGTGGAGTGCTTTTGGAAAAGCTCCTGCACCTATCTCATGAATGCCATGAGGCCCGCATTTTTATCAGCAGTAGACGTGAGGAGGACATCACAGAAATTCTCAAGGGCAGCTCGGAAACCATTCGGGTTGATGGAAGGAATGAGGAAAGTATTCAAGCCTTTGTCGATTATCAGCTAAGACAGATTTTCCAGAGTAGAAGATTTCCTCCTCAAATTCAGGATGAAATAACGCGCTCGTTGGCACCGCTTGCATCCAAAGCCAAAGGTATGAGAACTGCGTTCCTCCGGCGCGATCTTGCGGCTCACGCAAATACTTAGGGATGTTCCTGTACGCCAAAGTTGTCTTGAGCGGTATTGAGTTGGTAGACGACGTGGCTGAACTTTGCGAAGAAATGAGCATACTGCCAGAAGATCTGGATGATGCGTAGGGATGCCTGTGATCATAAACTTTGTGGATGAACTGACCTGTCTTGTTGCAGATATTCCCGAGTGCTTGTACGAATTAACAAACTGCGACCACCGTCGGCTCGCGTCAAGGCCAGAAGAATACTGGCCTGGGTGGGTTGCTCGCCGACGCCGCTAACCGTCCAGGAGATCGAACAAGCACTGACGATCAAACCTGGAAGCTTTGAATTAGAGAAGAAGGTGTTCGCCAGTCCGAACCTTAACAGGCTATGCGGACCCATTATCGAAATAGTTGATGGATATGTACAATTTGTACACTTCACAGTCAAGGAGTAAGTATCATGAGATTCGGTTGCAACATATCTGGCTAACGAGAGAAGATACTTGTTCAGCCCCGGCATAGACGGACATATTAATCTTGCCTAGGCGACTCTCGATCTTGCCATCTGCTGCACCACTTTCCTCAGTCAAAGACATTATGATGTTGTTACTCTGGGCGATGATGATGGTTTCCCCAGCCTCCTACTGGATGGGAGCTATCGACTGCACTATTTCGCAGCAAATGGCTGGTTCGAGCTGGTCAAAAAGTACTTGCAGTTGATACAGAACAAGCCATTGCCAGCAGAGCTTGTGCACAGTCTAAAGACGCTGATGGTCAAACGCAGCAATCACGAATTTGCAGCAGAACGAGACACTTCTATCAAGCCTGCATACTTGCAGCCTGTCGAAACGGAGTATCCGGATCTATATCAATTCCTTGTTAGCATAGCTCAATTTCACGAGAGATGCTCACAAACATGGTACCATATCAACGAAGGTATACCACTATACTCGCAGCCCCGGTCAGAGGACTGACGGCAATAGGGAAACATTGGATTAGTCTGGATCCACTGTCGATATTTTATATATCGGCGAAAATTTACCGAGAGCTAGACTCCGAGCTCTGTCATTCCAGCCATCATCAACGAAACTGCCGCTGCGATCTTATTGAGCAAAATTTCGGCAAACGTCCGTTCAAATGTGGCTTCTTGAACTGTTCTTTTCAACAGCATGGCTTCGAATCCAAAGCGCAACGAGCAACACATGAAAAAGAGCATACCCGCCCATGGAAATGCAGCGTCTCTGGGTGTGAGTATGAGAACATCGGATTCCTCTCCCGCAGCATGAGAGACCAACACTTAGAAAAGGCTCATAAAGACAAGGCACAACCAAGGGAACTTCCTGAGGACACCATCGGACAAGATGAGGTGCAGGCACTCGTGCTCGATTTAGTCAAAGATCATCAAGTTGAGATGGTCGAGCTTCTCCTGCCGCGCATTAGCGATCCCTATCAATTCTCTTCGCTCTTGGGCAAGACGGTAGGCGAACTCGGGTCTGTGCCAATGGCGCAGATGATAACGCGGGTCTGCGAGGAGGCGGCGAAGCACAGGGCTGTGGATCAATTTTATCACGGAGCTATAAAGACCGGTAATGTCGAGTTTATTGATTGGCTTATCAACTCGAACCAGATGCCAGAATATAGAAATCAGGTGGCGTCCATTATTGCGGCTTTTGTGAAGAGCGACTCAGAGGAGATGTGGAGACTGTGCAAGCAGTTCATGGCGGCTCTCTCGCGAGCCGACGAGGCAGCGCCAGGTCGCATCATCGACTTAAGGATGTCTGATGTTTGTTTTGAAGACCAGGTCATAAATGCCACCTGCAGGATCGCAAAGAGAGAAGAGATGCTACTTTCCCTGTGGGAATCCGTCGGAGTGAGTAAAGAGCTCAAGGTTGCTAAGCTTTCATATGCTTTGGGAGCTGTTGCCAGAACGACGTGCTCTATTCGACTCGGGACCGCTCTTCTCCAATACGGAGCTGATATCAATGGACATAAGCGTAACGGAGGGGTCTCGCCCCTTCAATTTGCTGCGCGGAAGTCGTCGGCTGAGAATGCCGAGTTCATGAAGTTCCTCCTCTCGGAGGGCGCGGATTCAGAAAAGGTTTCGCGCTCGCGAAAGCCTTCTGATGAGAAAGGCGCCCAGGAAATCTCCCAATGGCTTGGGATATCATGGAATGAACTGGTCGAGAAGACCAGAAATCAAAGAAGTGTCGATCCTCAATCAAATCAATGATGGAATCACTGTCGCCGGCCAAGTCGAACTCATTCAACATTGTCGGACAGGACTCAAGGAAAGCCAGCAGCCAGAAGTATAGACAGAGCTCGGTGATCATTACTTTTGCAACAAATCAGACTGTTTCAATCTATATACGTACGCATACAATTGTGTGTTGTACATTCTATCATGCCAGAGCCAGCCGAAACCATCCCAGTCCTTCATCTCGCCAGCACATGTCGGCTAGGTGCAAGGCAAGCTCTTGCTATGGAGGGTTGCCTAATATCAACTGCAGTTTCTAAACTAGAGTCAGTCTGCCGTGCTGAAAACTGGCAGCAGTATTTGGTGCAAATGACATACATTTAGTCGTCGTCGGTCGAGCTCCGACTGCGACGACGCAGCGGAGCCTAGCGATTCACTGACCAATCTCATTTTGTCCTCTTGGATTGCTGGATTGCAGAGCGACGGTCCGCTAGACTTGAGTGACCATCGATTCGTGCGTACTTGTAATCATGCTGTCGAAGGAACTGGGCCACCAGATCAAGCATCCTAGTCCATTGACTGAATATGACACTATCCCGCGTTAGCGGTGTTTGGCCAGCACTTCAATTGATCTCCCCCAGTTACCTCTTGACAGGTCGGAGAGGCGTGCCTCTATCGGCTCTCTGCTCCCGCTCCAGATTCTTCAGTAGAGCATTGACCTTGGCCGACGGGCAAAGACATATGTCAGAGGGAGTCAATGGAGTAGACGCCACGCTTGAACTGGTTGGGAATTCATCTGAGGAGGGGTCGGGAGTGTTTACGTTGCTATTCCGCTCGTCATTAGTGAAAAAATCCACGTCCGGGTGTTCCTCTATCCACTAGACTGGATTGCTCGGGCTCTCTGCCGAAAGACAAATCATCGTCCGTGATACACCAAATATCGCACTTGGCCAGGCCGAATGTGCCTAAAAATACGATCAGATCGGTATAAATAGTGGCTGGATCTCGTCATACGTCTTGATCTGTTCCTCCCAGCCGGGGATGGCTTTGCCAGTCAATATCTGCTCATTGTAAAGATATGGTAGATTAGAAGCCTTACTAGACTTTGGAGTAATGATTAGGGTCGCTCGAGGGCTGCCACTCGGCAATTGCTCCTCATCGAATCTATCAAGCGACCGGCAAACCAGCGCGAGAAGACTTAGTGTTTTCCCTAGGCCCATCTCCTGTTTAGGGTCAGTCACAGTTCTTCCTCGGTGCGGCATGACGGGAAGGAGCTCACATCGGCAAGGATCCCACCGTGCAACGGACTTGGTGCCACTTCGACATTGCCTGTAATTTTATGTCGGTACCTATACCAGTGGTTATCACGGGCTCTTTCTGGTGTAGTAGCGGTCCTACCTTGGAACTTTGGTGCCTTTGACCCGTTCCCACAATGATGGAAACTTCAAATCATTGAGACTGCCAGCCTCCCTTTCCACCATCATCGACAGTGCTACGATCTGATGTCTGTGGCCCTATCAGTGACCATTGGTTGATATGAGGACTAGACACGGACTTACTCCTTGAGAGGGGACGCGAGCCTAGGACTAGATCTGGCTTGATAGGGGCCATTGACTGTGTTGGCAGAGTCGAATATTCGCATAATTTCGCTTTTTTCGCCCTTAGTCAATGATTCCGAGCTTTGCGGATGTTCTTCATCATCAGAAAGTACCAGATCCTCAAGCTTTGGCATTTGGCCCCCCGGTCGTATAAGAAATTGCGGGTTGACATATGGCATCAGATGGTCATATTCTGTAATTCTAGGGTGCTGCAGATATACGCCAGCCTCCGACAAACAAGCACCAACAGCCTCCTTTTCGTCTCCACGGCCATAAAGGATCATACGAACGACCACACCAGGCCCAGAATTCTTACCTTTGAGATCGTCGGGAGCAAACAGGGTTCCCACCAGCTTGATGGTATGCTGTTCAAACAGGGTGACGAGTACGGCCATAGAGACTATACCGGCATATTTGCCCGAATCCCTGAACGACAGTTTGAGCACATTCCCAAAAGGCTTTATGTTTACTCCAGCCGACTTTTTACCACCTTCCCCCTTGAAGGTGGAGGCTGCTGTGCCGACGATCTTCCAAGCATTAGCATGTATGACAGCTGGGTGACGCGCGGCACCTACCTCCCCAAAGCACGTATCGCATTGCGCGGTTTCCGGTCCATGCACGTTCAGGTCATTGTCGTCTTTATCAAGACAATGTTCAACAGATGTGTTGTTTTCCTGTATGATTGAATGGCTTCCATCATAGTCTATATTGTGTTGTGGCAGCCGAGGGCTCTCAAGTCCGGGGGTGGTGCATGCGGTTGTCATCGTAACTGAGCTTTTACCATCCAGAAATTCAGTAGAGGAGTCAAGGATGGCTGACTGGTCCAGATCCATGCGGGACAGGGGATATGGAACTGGCGTTGCTGATGTGAAGTCGGATACTTGTTCGAGACCGTCTAGCTGCGCCCTTGACTGCGTGTTGTCTCCTGAGATGTCGACTGATGTAACTTCTACCATATATCAGCCTCAGGCCCGGTTTTGATAAAAGAACTCTGAAATACCGCTGTCGTAGAGTCTCCCAAGACCCCACAATGTGGGAAACGACATATTCCAGGTATTGCCAAGGTCTCGACTGTCCAGGCCTTGCCATTCGGAAGCCAGAATGAGATCGGAGGTTACTGGTTGTATTGAACCAGCACTTGATTCCACTGTCTGAGGCTGACCAGAATGTAGCATTGCCATCTCTGAACCAGCGAGAAGACCAGATGTCACAGATAGGTGATCTGGAATCAAAGTGGGTGTATTCCCCTCAAAAGGTGCATCATCCAATATTGTCGATTCTCCATAACTAGTAGTACCGTTCAAGTGCCAACCATTCCAGTTTTGGATGCCATGCCTATCTTCAATGCGAGCCCGTTTGCTTTCGCTGCTGTCCGTGTCTCCGTCCGCAGCCACCTGACGCTTGACGGCGGTTGATGCTATACGTCCAAAGAACTCGATGTTGTTCATCTTAAAGCAGCTTCCATGAGGTGATTTGGGAATGTAAAACTATGTCCTTCTGGGCTCAGATTAAATCGAAGAAGTCATCCACCAGGGTTGCCTCCTGTTTCACCCTGATGCTCACCGCCACATTGCCCGCGAGGCTGACGGGAAACTGCAGCCGGGGGTGTCCAATTGTATGCTTTCATAGAACGCTGGGATTTGCTGCGCCACATACATGCAGGGACGTTTGATTACTGAATGGTGAGGCACAGGTGCGCTGGGCCAATGATTTCCGAATGTAACGTAGGACCTATTTTCTTTTTCGTCTCCTCAATGCCTGACGCCCCTGGATGACCGGCTGGCCGTCCTTCCAGACAACATGACTCTCCAGAGCTTATGAGTATCCCCCTGAGATTCTTAACAATATCATCTCGCGGCTGGACTTGGTATCACATAGTCCCATATTGACCGTACGTCTGTGCGGGAGAGAATGAGCGAGTGTAGCGAGCTTGGATCTCGATCTAGGCGAGCTGCTAGGAGAAAAAGCAGACATGGGTCTAGTTGACGGAGTATTTGGAAAGTGGTGGGAAGAGGATGCTCGAATGAACGCGTATCAGTTAGCAGCGACCTTCTGGGGAAGATGCTGGTGAATTGGACGGAGAGACGTGGAGTGTACGTGTGCTCCGCGCTGGGAGTTGGAGAGATCTGGATCGCCGAAAATGACTTCATCTATGACGACTGGATGGTCAGTACCTGGTTAACACACACGTCTAGAGGAGGCTCACGACTGACGGAGGTTCAAGGCTGCAGTTGTTTTGTACTTGATGCTCCTGGGAAACTCTGCCGTGGCAGTTTGAAGGAATTTTCGCATCGAGGCGTGATTCGGTTCGGTAAAGGGGATCGTGACATTGATGAATAGGTATCGCAGGATGAGTTCTTTCTCTGACAAGGTGGTTGACTTTAGAAATTAGCTGAAGGGAATTGAAATCGAGCAGGTGAATGATGCTGTTAAGAGTCTCCACTGGGAAGCTAAGGGGCTGTTTCGACTTTTCCATTGCACTGGCTTCTAGTGAGGGATGTGAGAACTCCTTGGTATATCAAGGAAGAGAGAAGCATTTTATTACTCGTGAGATGAGAAACATGGCACACATGGAGTATGGTGTATTAAGTATTCACTTCTCTAGATAGTATAAAGAATTAATCTGGTAATATTGGCAATGGTAACACTGCTGGCTATAAAATAGGCCTGCTTCTGCCCAAGCTTGCTCTTACAGTTTTACTTTCCTCTTTTTCTCCTAGAGCTAATACACTAACTCGAGGACCAGTTTCATATTAGTACAACTCCACCATCATAAAAGAATCCATAGACGCTTTGCTTATTGCATCTCTGTCTTATACAGTGGCCTCTTCACTGACTATAATTGCTTTAGTGTAGGCCGACAATCCAATTTGGCATGGTGAAAGTTGATAATCAAAGCTTATCCAAGTTCGTCATTCCAAAGAATGTTATCAGGCCAAAGAGCTTGATGAATGATTTCTAATGCGTGAATTTCCTTCTTCGACCTTGAAATCTCCTGATGAAGCAACAAGCACCGTTCAATCTTTGCTGTACTTTCACCCCCCTGGGCCATTACTAGCATGTGACAAATCTCTCTAGCTTGTGATGACCCTGCGCGCAGCACCGCGCTTGACTCTGAAGTCTCTGCACATAGTTAGCTGCATTAGTAAGGGAAGGGCTCAGGGCTCAGGGCCATGGAGAAAGTAGATCTTTTCTAAATCAATTTTACCCAGGAAGACAGGGTCAGGGACCGCAGACCCCTGCGCTTTCCGTAGGACTTGATATATGTCCGCCTCGCGGGAGACCTCTTTCCAGAGTTGATCCCAACGACAGTGTAGCCATACGAGGCACAAGTGAGTTTGAGGGGTGCAATTGCGATCGCGGTTTTCGTCCAGTTGCTGTTTGAGTAGCTGTACGAGTCCGTTTGCCTTGATAGGGTGTCGATGTAGCTTCACATTTGGGCAGCGGTCATCCAAGATCCTATCATTCTGTAGCCCGAGCAGACATCGCTGTGTGCAAGGCTGGCGGCTTTGATGATCTCTAGTGGCCCGTTGACGGGCTAATTGCTGGATAGATGGGGAAGACATGACCTGACTGAAGCCCTGCTTCCGCCTCGTTACTTCATGGTTCAAATCAGAGTGTATATAGGGCATATATCTTCAGCCACAAATGGGGACTGGCCCCCAAGATCCTTGGGGCAGATGGACGGTATTCTAATTTCTAGGTGGTCAATCGGTTTGCATTATACGAGAGAAAAGTTGTATACTTTGTTTTACCCAGAGCAGTTGGTCGAATCAGGGGCATCGAAACTAATGAATCATTAAGTATCTTCAGACTCACGTTGCGCTGCCTACGTCCATTTGAGAGAAATAAAGCTGTCAGATAGATCAACCGGCCGTTAGTATTCATTGAACACACCACTACCACTACAACGATTGAGCGGCTACAGTAATGAACCGGGAATGTATTGAAATTAATATTAATAGCTTCATGAGTAGGCTCAGCCAAGGATAATCCATGCCGGTCAGAATGTCAAGTCCCAAACGCATGCCAGTGGGACGGGTCAAGACACGATTAGGGTTTCTCCAAAGGCTCAAGAGGACATTCGCCGTAAGGCCCACCATATACAATATAATTGTATTCCATTCCCTTACTCAGGTGTGTAGTAAAATGGCAGATCAACTGCCACCAACCTGGGTTCAACGCAGTCATCAAGACAGTAGTCATTTGCCCGGGATTCAGGGTGACGGTGGGCAAAGTGGCCCCGGTGACTGGATCAAGGACATTGTCGCCGTGCATGTGGAACACATGTGTGTCGAAGCCCATGTCATAAAGGTACCAGATGACATTATCGTTGAGACACATCTCGAAAGCTGGGCCGTTTGCGTAGATGTAGCCGTTTAACTGTGCATTCAGAACATATCAGTTATGTCTAAGAAGACAAGTTAAAAAAAGAAAGGAGAAATAACTTACGGGGAAGAAATTTGGCGCCATTTTAGGAGTAACGTTGGTCTTGGGTGTGTTGATGAGCTGAGGATACCAGATACTGAAATTCCCCTGACCACGAGAGATGTGTGGATACTGGTCTGACAAATTCATGACCTGCGACGCCATACCAGGGAGGTATTTCCGGACGTTGTGCAGCGCAAGGAACGAGTTCCACTCCTGATTGTCCGTGTAGAGAAGGACGAATTCACGGTTCTGCCTCATCACGGTCTCCATTCTCCCGCGACGGTAGATGATAACCGGTCCATAGGAGCCAGCGTCTTGATCTTGGTACATGCTGACGTATGGATGGTAGGCCAAGAGTCGGCTATCGTGGCGGCCATTAGGACCAGAGGTTTCCGGAACAAGCCTGTATAGATATTGATCGTCAGTCTTCAATGATGCTAGACGATTGATGACAACTGGAACCAGCGCACCATTTGTAGACAAAGCATCCACCTGGAGGAACTGCGTCACCAATAGTGACATTGCTGGTCCCATTGTAGTAAACGCTGCCTTCTGACTCCTTGGTATAGTACAGACCCATACTATGCATGCTGGAGAAGAAATGCTCCATTTTGTTGACGAACATGATCTGTTGGACTTAGTGTACTGAAGAACGGCCCAAGGTAAAAGAGCATGGTGAAACTGACCTCGATCATATCACCAACTTCAGCACGGATTATTGGGCCCTGGAACCCAAGCCAGGGAGGTTGCTCGGTTCTTTCCTCGAAAGTGGCATCTGTGTATCCCCTGTAGAGTGCCTTGTCGTATTGGGTGCCGATGCTTGTGTTCGATCGAATGTATCCCCATGTCTGGGCTCGGAAGGACTCGTTCATTGGGACACCAAGCCAGTTGTCCCAGCCTACTCCGTCGATATGTCAATTAGAAAAACGACTCTGTGATCTTCCGGAGGCGCCTTACCTGTCGGAGCATAATCCCAAGGAAGGACTTCCGCCGCCACATAGTAGCGACGAACATTCCCCGAAAACACGAAATCCGAAGGAACGAAGTACGGCAGCTCGCCATTCAGGCGGGCTTCGCATTCCTCCAATGCGTCTTTATTGGGAGATGCACCCAGGGCTGGCGCTGCAAGAACGCTGGTGGCCACTGCAAGAAGGGCGAATGAGAGAGATAGAGAATGCATTGTTAATATGCGCTGAGTGGTAACATGCAGAATGTTGTCGGGTCGGGGGAAAGGAATAATGGCAGAGACGGTGCTATGGAATGTGTATGTAGCGAAGAGTGTTTACAGAGTTAGAAGAGGGCATGGGCGAGTTAAGAGGAAGGCCACGGCGCACCTTCCTGTCTGTAGGAGGAAGCTCCATTCCATGTCCGTATTTCCAGCATCAGAAACTAAGCACGTATCGGGCAACCGACCAGAATAGTAAAGGAGGGAAAGAAGGCTAGGGAAAATCGAGGCATATCAATAGTTCAGTTCATGCATTGCCTACTGCTACTGGGAAGAAGCATCGAATACTCTCACCGAATTCGCGAGAAATCGCCGGAGACGTATGCGAGCAACGCAGCCCGCTTTGAGCAAAGTTTCTAAATAATATCTAGTACCATGAGATGATTGATAGGCAGTATAATGCAGTAGGTTTGATAACATAAATCACCTCCGATCTTAGACGCTAATACAAAGAAGCCAAGTCATCCATGCAGATATCCTGCAGCCCGACCGCTCCTTCGACGTTGAAGACCTGCTGATCGCTTACCAAGCTGCAGTCTGAGTTGTTGATATAAATATGGCACCTCTTCCATTCTCTATATTCATTCATTTCCCCTCTCTTCCTCACTCTTGCCCACCATCTCCAACCAGCAATGTCTACCAACTCAGGCCAAGTCTCCCCCCTCAGCGGGGTAACCCGCTACATCACCACCCACGACTCCTCCGGCAAAGCCATCATCCACTCGGAGCAGCCCCTCAAATGGGGCGCCTATCAAGGCGGCGCGCTAGGCATGGGGGTCGCCTACACTACGTCCGAGTTCCCCGCCAACCTCAACAACGACGCCGACATCAAAACTCACGAGAATCTCATGCAGAGCAACTCCCTGGGCTTGGTCAACCCAAACGGGACGACGTGTCGGTTCGTCGATTTCGGTCCCGGTGGAGAGCCGTTCATGCATCGCACGCAGAGCCTGGATTACGGGATTGTCCTGCAGGGGGAGATTGAGATGATTCTGGATTCGGGGGAGAAGAGGGTGCTGAAGGCGGGGGATATTGCTGTGCAGCGGGGGACGATGCATGCGTGGAGGAATCCGAATGCGACGGAGTGGACAAGGATGGTCTTTGTGCTGCAGGATTGTCAGGAGGTGAAGATTGGGGGGGCTGTGCTTGGGGAGGATCTGGGGGGGTCGGAGCATCAGGATATCAAGCCTAGTCGGTGATTGAACTGATGTCATGTTCTTTGCGGAGGAGATTCAAGATATAGTACATCATATACAATGAAGGCTACTGGTCCTTCACCTTGATCACGACCTTTCCGAAATGCGCTCCGCTTGCCAGGAAGTTGAATGCCTCCTTGGACTCCTCGAATGAGAACACCCGGTTGACAACAGGGTGGATCTGGTGCTCCTCGTAGAACTTCACCATCTCCTCGAAGCGGTCCTTTGGACCGTTGATGATGCCCTTGATTGTCAGGTTCTTGCGCAGCGTGAGCACGTTCATGTTTAGAGTGTCGTTCGGGTTTTGTTGCTTTCCGGATGTGTAGCCGATGCAATCGATCAGTCCACCAAAGGCGACGCAGTCAAAGGTTTTGCTCAGCGTCTCCGAGCCTCCGGTTTCGAGGATGATGTCCGCTCCGTGGCTGTTCGTCACCCGCATCACCTCCTCGTTCCAGTTGGGATTCGTGCGGTAGTTGATTGTGTAGTCGGCGCCGAGCTTCTTCGCTTGCTCCAGCTTCTCGTCGGATGAAGACGTGATGATCACTGTACTGTCAGCCGCATGCAACATGTGCATATTCTGTACGACATACCTTTCGCCCCGGATGCCTTGGCAATCTGCAGACCAGCAATCGAGACACCACCCGTCCCAAGCAGCAAGACGTACTCGCCCTCTCCCCCGTTCTGTCCAATCGGTCGCATGCCGTTGATCGACATCCACGCCGTCACACTGGCAATTGGAAGCGTACTAGCCTCCTCGTGCGTCATATAACTGGGCGCCCGAACCAGAGCCCGCTCGGCGAACACACGATGTGTCGCCAAGACTCCATCCATCGGCAAGCCCAGACTGCTTCCTAATTCCTTCTCGGTCACCTGTCCGGTCTGGTGGTCGGGAAGAAAGCTCGACAGAACGTGATCGCCGACTTTCCAGGCCGTCACGCCCTCGCCCACCTGGGTGACAACACCGCTCATATCGCTGCAGGGGACGACGACGGTTTCGACTCCGTTGGTTGCTTTGTGGTGGTTGTACTCGCCCCTCACGACTGAAGGCCAGAAACATTATTCAAAGTCCAAGGTACATTCCAATGGAGACTACTCACCTTCGGTATCGCGATAATTCAAAGAAACAGCATGGACCTCTACGAGGACTTCCCCTTGGCCGGGTGCGGGCATCGGGGCCTCAGCCTGCTGCAAGCTGTCGAACCCCTTCAGGTTGCTCTTCCATTGCTTGATAGATGGTGCCATTGTGTGATCTGGCGCTCGATCATTGACTTCCTCCAGGAGCCCAAAATTTATATGATTGAAGGGGAGAATTAATAATGCTGAAAAATGCGTCATTGTGGAGTCGCCCCGCAGTTGGAGCAACTCGGCGTTTTTCTTTTGCTGCGGTGGAACTTTGTCCCATGGCCGTCGACATGCTGATGCTGATGTCCTGTGTGAACCAAAAAGATAGAATTGAAGCTATACTGGAGATTGGAGAATGGAGAAGATGGAGTCGATGTCGAGCTTTGATTGTGCACGAGGATGTGTGTGGTTGTCTTACCCAATGAGGGGTCAATATTCGGCTTCGAGGCCCTTTCCCGACGGTAAAACATCAACATGCCGTCCGGAATGGTAGAAAAGGAGATGTAGAGCTCATAAATTAGATCTCAGGGTTGGACTACCTAGTGATGACCTTTTGCGCCAAAGGTCGAGAGCTTAGTATGGTCAATGGATATTACCCTCCATATCTCTCGGATTATATGGTAGGGGTCTACCTCCATCAACCCGCGATGTCAGATGCACTGATGCGGAAACAGCATCTCGCGGAAGTAATTGAAGAGACCAGCGAAGACATCAAAATCCTGTTGCTCCGTCTGTTTGAAGACTCGAGGGCAAGATCTCGCTTTTTCCACCAACTATAGGACTCAGTGTTAGCCTTCCCCCTTCTTGGTATAACATCAGATCACCTGGATCAACCATCAAATCATAAGGAACATAATAAGTATGGATTGGGAAGACCACAGTTGTCATAGGATTATGACAGACGATCATGCAGGCAGGCCATTTTTGCTGCGGATCACATTTAAAGATCGATCATCCCAGTACTTCGTATCATTCCCCGCATAATCAATGAGTCTAAATCGAGGTGTGCAGTCCTGGATTGTGATACACCCCGTGGCAGTGGCTTTGAAATGTGCATGTGCTCTGGAAGAAGAATAGATTGTGCAGCTAGTGATTGGGCTAACTTTCAAGGCTTCAACTGGCTTAAGCATCGCCTAGCATTTCCATTTCCGGGACAAGCTTCATGAATGAGCCTTGTGGACCGGGCTGATTGCTCAGAACTGTCCAGTAGGATGAGGCTGGATAAATTGATGGCGCTTCTATGCCGTTATCCGAACCAATCGCTGGGAAATAGTGAGACGGACCCTGAATACGAGGAGGAGTCTCAAGTCTGAAGGAGAGTTTTGACTATGGACTGAGCCGATGATAGTTTGTTATTAGTTATCAGTTATCAATATGGGGATTTCCTTCTCAGCTGAGCTTGTCAGCCTCTCCTCCCTCCTGAAATTCTCGTTCTTGTTCTTATGGCGCGCCTTTCCTACCTCCCACAGTTACTTCTCCTGGTACAATCAGTGCATTCACAGCTGACGACCTTACCGACATGCGCGGTGAGACGACTCTGTTTTCTGGGAGAAATGCAGGCGCTGACTGCAGCGATAAAAGCAATCGTGCTATACCAACGCTGTCAGCGCGTCGGAGTGCAGCGCAAGTGATTACAAGTGCCTTTGTACGAGCTCGGTATACCACCAGGCCTTTATATGCTGCGTGCGAGCGGCATGCGACTCGCTGAATACGTCTTGTAAGTTGTATGGCTCAAAAGACTCGGGTATTATGGGCACTGAATATTCGCAGTGGTTGGGAGTGAAGCAGTTGCCCTCTGCAATGTGTACGTCCTACGCATGATTCCAAAGGGCCATACTCACGAACATGCAGAGAAGGAGTTTCGGTCTCCTCGTTGCCATCAAGCGCATGCTCCACCACCTCTGGTACCTAGACTCTAGCGGGTGATTGGCATTGGACTGATCGTTGAGAACATCACTGACCCTAATAGCCTCCCAAACTGCAGGTTCCTCCGCGACTGGCACAAACACCCGAGGAACTGTCACAGCCACGGCAACTGTCACCAAGAACGCAAGCAGCAACAGCGATAGTCAAACCAACGGCGCATCACAACCGACAGCAACATCCAGCACGTTATCCTCGAATAGCAGCAGCAGCAGCACTGCACAACACTCCGGACTAAGCACCGGAGCAAAAGCAGGCATCGGCGCAGGTGTTGGAGTCGACGTCCTGATACTCCTCGGACTGATCGCCTTTATCCTACTCCGAAACCGGCGCAAGAGGACACCCCAGGAAACACCCGAAGCGCGAGACCAGTCTATGTCACTGATGGAGTATAAGCCGGAGCTCGATACGAACCAGCCCCGAGCCTCGCGGGCTAACCAGAAACCTGCCGTGGCGGTTACTGCGGCCTATGCGCCACCGGACGGCGCGAGCGAGCTTCATTCGCAGCATTTGTCGTATCAGATGCCTACCGGGGAGAACTCGTCGGAGTTGCCGTTCAGCCCTGCGCTGAACCAGCGACCTTTGTATAACAATCAGTATGAATTACCCGGTCATTCGGCTGGACGGTATGAGCTGCAATAGGGACAGGCGTGAGGATGGACAAGGGGTGTGTATACTCTGGATATGTACATAATGATGTTGAAGAGGAATAAGATGACCGTGATGAATCCCCTCCAACGTTCTTGCAAAGCCTCAAGCAAGAGAAGAGAAGTATAATACAACGGCTGGTCTCAGCGGGAGTAAGCCTGGTAGCCATTTACAGTTTAGCTACATGGAGAGAATACATAGGTTTTTTTCTCTAACGTCGCAGCAGAGGATGTCCACTGCTTTGAGATGCATATCACCCCCCCTTGGCCATAATCCTCCTCCTTTCCATCCCAATCGAAGCCAGAAACGCAACCCCTCCCAGACCAACCGCCACAAGAAACGCATCGGACACCGCAACCCGAAACACATCCCTCACCGACCCCAGCAGGCCCGCAGACACCACGTTCTGCAACTCGGCGCCACCAGCCGCCTCCACCGCCGGGACATCCACCCCGCGGAGCGCAAGAAGATGCGAGTGCAGCGCATTCCGAAAGACATTCTCGGCGATAGCCAGGCCAACCGATCCCCCGAGGCACTGCGCGAGGATAACCAGCGTGCTCCCAAGCGGGATATCCGCCGCGCTCAGAACCACCTGGATGGCGGTGATCGGGATCTGCACCATGACGCCGTACCCTGCGCCCGTGAGCACCTGGTACCCGAACCATTTCGCGATCGGGCTCGAGCGCGACAGAGTGTAGAGGAGGCCGCCGCCTGCGACGAAGAGCCCGGATCCGAGCCACATGAAGGGGACGTAGAAGCCGGAGAGGGTGACGAGGGTGCCGCTGATGAGGGTGGCGATGGAGACGGTCACGCCGTAGGGCAGGATGCTGAAGCCGGAGGTTTGGGCGTTTGTGCCTCGTACGGCCTGGAAGTAGAACGGGAGGTAGTATGTCTGGGTCATCATGGCGCCCTGTAGCAGGCAGGAGAAGATGCAGCCTAGGAGGACGGATCGTTGAGAAAGGACACGAAGGGGGATAAGGGCACTGGAATTCCGTGAGATTAAAAACAGCATCAGATAGGGAGGGCGGTGATCACATACTCATCCTCCTGACGGTACTGCATGTATCCGAAGAGGGCAAGGAGCAGGCCAAAGCCCAGGAAGCAGCCCCATACGCGGGAGTCAGACCAGGGGTAGTCAGCCCCGCCCCACTGAAGAGCGAGGATCAGGCAGACTAGAGTGCCAGTCAAGATCAAGACGCTCTTTAGACCGAGACTGGTCAGCTTCTGTCGAAGGGGACGGTTCTTGTAGGGTGCTCCGCCAAGAGACGATGGGTAGTAGAAGCACACAATGAACCCGGTCAGGCCACCCAAGGCTGTTGCGGGCCGTTAGTTTACGGTGTCGCCACATCAGCTAGTATCCAGGACTCACGCAGGTTGATCCAAAAGCAAAATCTCCAGGTGAGGCGGGCCGAATGGGTGAAGACACCACCCAGAGACGGGCCAACCACCGAGGCAACGCCGTACATGCTCGTCACAATGCCCAGCAACAGCGGGCGTTTCCGCATCTCGACAATCTGCGACATGATGATCATGGCCCCGCAGAAGAGCCCGGCAGCCCCCAGCCCGGCCACGGCTCGGCCGGTGATGAAGACGGGGGAGTTGGGCGCCGCCGCGCAGATCACGGACCCAGCTTCGAAAAGCAGGCCGGATCCGAGCCACACCCACTTCAGGTTGAAGAACATGTAGGCCTTGCCGAATGTCGGTTGGAAAGACATCTGAGCAAGCAGGTAGACGGAGCCATACCACGCTTGTGAAGGGTAACCCTATGTTAGCAATTCATCAGGAAGACAGGACCGCATAGACTGGTCACTCACCCACATCGCCGAGGCTGTTAAAGTCCGTCGTGATTATCGGTATAGCAGTGGCTAGTATCCTGTTAAACGGGACGGCAATAAACAAAGTTAAAATTGGAGGTGCTCAGGCTGCTCACATATGATACTGTTATCTAATGCGACGGTAAACACTCCCACCATCAGGGACAGCGTCATCAAGACGAGTGCGCGGCCATGAAGATACTTGTCTTGCTCATGCAGCTCACTCAGGTTATCTGGCCGGGCAGTAGTATGCAGAGCGGGTGGTTCTTTCTCTGTAATTGATTTCTCACCCTCTGCAGTGTCTTCTCCAGCCATTGTCCTTTCTACGATGGTGCCGTCTCCTCTGCTGCATTATCAGATCGATATTTGAGGCACAAAAGCTGAACAGAAGGTAAAGACTTGCCTATTGGTCACCGACTCATCGCCGAGGTCTGATGGCGATGCAGCGGTATGCGATTGCATCGCGATCTCTATCAACCACAGCTTGTGAAACCAGTGCCGCGCACCGGTTAAAGGAGCCTGCCATGGCTCTATCGTGATATATAGCAGTGGTCGGGGAGATTATCTCCTCCACAACCGGCGCTATCTAGATTGACATAGATGCGAGGCACATTTAGACCCTCCAACTGGCTGATAACACGGCCATGCATATGCAAGAGAGCTCTGGACAGATTGATGGAATTAAGCATACGATACAACCAAAGCTCTTGTCTAGGTTGTTCCGTGTGCCGAGCAGGATCGGAGAGTCCCTTATGTACTCGCATGGATACCGGACAAATGACAATAGATACCATTGTATTGGATCGCTCTGCTTCCTGCTTCGTTATTTGTCTGGATAGCTCGAGCCGGGGCATGCGGAGGGATTAAAAGCCCGAGCTGGTCGTGTGCAGGCGGAGTACCGGCCCGAGGAAGCGTTTCATGTATGAGCAAACTAGTGCACTGAGGCCCTAAGCAATCCCATAGACCGAGACCTCGTGGACCTTGCATCCAAAGGGATGGCCCATCAAGCTCTACAGGCTGAAAGCCCAGCCTGATCTAGCCGGTCTGCGGCTACTCCTGCGCCACGGCTGTGTACTGATGGACTAATCCCCAGACTGACTTTGTAGCTGCAGTGGGCATGGGAAAGAAAAGGTCAAAGAAACCGAGTCACGAAATTTCTCGACTCACTAAGGCGTAAAGGACGCTCTGGTGCAAACCGATTTCAGCAACTATCGAGTCGAATTGGCTAGCAGAAAGCCTGGCTTCAACGTCCCTCAGTGCTGCAAACGCAGTTAGAGAGCTCTGCCTGGCATTGAACAAGATGTCGGTCATTGTCGTGCCTTCTCACATCGAGTCAAACGCGAGCAGAATACCGTCGAGAACTACGTTTACTGATTCCTAACACCTGTCGATCGCAGGGAATTGAGCTTGATTACTACTTAAACGTGCGAAATAAATAGTTACAGAACGACAGCGAATAAGCTCAATGTCCTTCACCTCCCAAACAATATTGGTGTTAACTCCATGTATGTTCCCTGGCGATTTACAACCAATCCAGAGTAACTGTCCCCTGAACAACGGTGACTGCAGGTACATTTCATATCATTGCAAAGAGACGATCGCAGATGGAATAATCATCAATTCGTATAAAGTCACCCCGGCCCCTTTCTGGGTTCAATTGTCAACAGATGACCACGACCCGAGGAAGACGGAAATGACTGTACTTTTGCCCCTCAACACGTCAACATTCTCTTTCGAAGAGTAATTTGGTGGAAGATCAATGCGCGGACCTCTGGGATTCTCACACACCGATAATCTCTGTTCGCTGGCAGCATATGTGGGGGTGCTCATGACAAGTGCCACTGATTGTTGTGACGACCTTCGCTGCTCATGAGTAGTTCGGAAAAAGCGTACTCAGGGGTGCGATTGTGGTACTTGTGGCGCCAAAGGACACTTTTTAGCTGGTTTTCATTGTGTCGTATGAATGTATTCCGATGAGGTGGTTTCGAAATATCCCGCTACTTTTTTCACTTCATGGGCAAAGGAACCCTTGGACCAGCCGGATGCGTTCGATCGCCGGTAGAGACCGAGTAGACGAGCGTAGCCTTTGTCCGGGGACGCACAGAAGATGACCCAATAACGATAGACGTGAAAGGTATTCTGTTAATAGCATGGTTAACGAATCGAGTTCAATAGCTGCAGGTGGAAAGAGGAGGCTCGGCACCAACCTCGTAGCTTGGAAGCAGAGCCTTCCCCGTTCGTGCATCGGCGAAATCGATAGCTTTTATTGCAACCTTGAATAAAGCTTCTAGGCTTTTGACCGGTACGAATGATGTTGGTATTAGCCCTCAACATGCACAAACACGTTTCTTGTAGCAATTCTTGATGCTGCTTGATGGAGTAGTGGCGAGGCACTGTTAATTGGGCTTCCTGGTTGTCAGTCACAGCCTAAGCGGCTTAGAGAGCGCTACCGAGATCATATTACTTCAGTGAACTTCCACGTTCAGCGGGTCGTCCCCTCTGATACTGCGCCACCATTCACTCTGCCGAACGAGTTCTCCGTCTTCACCACCTAGCAATCTCCAATACTTCTTGATAAACCAATCTCTCGCCTCCCAGCTGCGGACGTCCCACGGCGTCCCTGTCGAAGCATGACCCGTGGACTGATTTCGATCCTTCTTCCCAACACCCGCACCGCCCCAACACACCAAGCCGGTCAACATGTCGTGGAAGAACTCATCATCATCGAACTCATTCTGATAGGCGATGAGATTTCTACGCAGCGTCGGAAAGGGTAGAATATCGATGAAGGGGTGATGCTTGACGGTGATTTGTTCCTTGCTCGGCCTCAAATCCGGCTTCAGAGTCTTGAATATTCTCTGCACGGCGCAAATCATGTTTGTCTTGGCTGTATCATCCGCCGAGTCCACGGTGAACCGGAAGAACGGAGAGAGAGAGTCGTCGGCACAGATCAGCTCCTCAGTAATGCCAACATGCGTCCCAAGAGCGTGCAGTGCAGATATAGTGCAGACCGTTTCGATGCGAAGGTGGTTGGCGTATGGATCTGCGGCGGGTGCACCCGGTTCAATTGAGAGTATTTTGATCTCACCATAGCAAGATGGGTCAGGGCCTTGCGTCCGTATCTGGACATGTGGCCTGGAGCAGCCGCAACTGACGGTGGCCGTCCAGTATGGACTATGACTGTCGTTCTTTTTATCACACATGAGAAGGGAAGGATCAACATAATTTGTGGAGCTCCAGATGCTCAGCGATGAGCGTGTGTCATCTGATTGCGGAACATATGTTCTAGGATCCCATGTGCACAATGCTGCTAGGCTGTGATCTAACTGCGGTGGAGGGTATTGGCATTCCTCTGGAGTTACGGCAGAAAAACTGGAAACAGATACGTCGAGGGTATCATATGATGGGGGGTCTTTTGTACTGACATCCGACGGCGCGGTGGATGGGCTGTGCATTGTGGCACCCTCAGACGGGCGTGTACCCACAGCTGGTGCTCCTTCAACAACACAGGTTTGCGCGGCAGGTGCCGCAAGGGCTTCTAGTTGGTTCAAGCGCTTACGCAGCTTTTCTCCTAATGAATGATGAGTGTGCTTGCCACCGTCAGCTAAGAGCCGCACTTACGGTACTTTCGTTGCGCTTGGACATTCTGTTGTCGTCTCTTCTCCGGGTCACGGCGTACAGGTTTTCGCTTCTCCTTCCCCTCGCTTCTCCGTATTTCTCCACTTTGGGATGACATCGTGTATTTTGATAGATTACTGCGATAATTCTGATGAACCAGGTACGTTGCGCGAGTCGTGAGAGGAGGAGGGAGGGGACATGACAAAGAACACGAGACGCGGTCAGAATAAGCTGCAGGTGGTAAATGGTTGACGTCGGCCACTTTACTCTATTGGATGCATTGACACCTCAGGCACCACAAATGCTTTACTGACCATACAGAGTAGAAGATCGGTTTACCTAGGTAGATGATTACCGTCAAAGTATAGGAATAATCACTGAAATACTATTCCCTGAAAGAATGATTGTCATGAGGTTATTTTAGTGCAGTGGAATAAGTTTTCTGTTAATTACCAATTCCGATTCCGGTTTGACCAATCATATCGCTGAATTCTACCATGGTTCAAGCCGATTTGCAGAAATTTTACATAGTTTTATACTGATATCGAACTTCCTTTCTATATATATACTCGGCTAGATAGAGACCTTCATCCTTGTTCGTTTACCGCCCAAAGACGATTAGCGCGAAGTGGCTGACAGTTAAGGTACGAGCCCTGCTTGGTCAATGGCTATCGGATACCCATCGTATGAGATGCTTACACCAGTTGACGAAGCGATAACCCTGCGTCTGCGGCTGACCTAGGTTGTGAACACCTCGTGATCGTTTCCGCTTCTGGAAGGTGTGAAGCTATTCGCAAAACGTATCTCAGTACCCAGAACGACATGCTCAACATCGACTACCTAATTAACCCCGATACCATGTTTGCAACAAAGGTCCCAATTCTGGATGTGGGAATGGTTCGTGTGTATCAAAGGTCTCGCTCTGCAGACAGGTGTCTGGGAATATATTGATCCAGACGATGAGACGATTACCAAAGAGAAACCGGTGAAACCGACCCTACCGGTTCCAGCGAAGGATTTCATGGATATGGATGAAAGCGATCGATTCGTTTGGCAACTAGAATCCGAGCACTATGATAGGCTGGCGCGCATATACCGTGAGGAGCGAGATGGCCTGGCAGCCGTCTGGAACGCTATCCAGACCACCGTCAGCCAGAATCACCGTTTTGTCTTTAGGCGGTACGTCTCAGTGAGGCAACTGCTAATCAAACTGCGAAATTGGATCGCACCAAGGGAGGATTGGTAATCTTCTAATTACCGACGTTTTACAGATAGTGGCGACGGTGGTCAGTATGGTTGACGGGGCAGGTCCGCTATGTATTGTTCCATGACAGTGCTACTTAGATAGCTACTTAGCTGCCTATGGAGCTACTCCTTCCACTCGTCTCTGCCTAATTTGACGATATCACCCATTTCCAAAACCCAATACTTCGACGGGGCTTTCCCCTCTTCAGCCGTACGGGCAGCCGCTACGGCTGCTCTGCCAATGACGGTTTGATCTTGACCTGCACGTACGAGTAAGTTTTCAGGGTTCAAAACAGTCCGGCAGCGATCAGGTTGGTCATACCTATCTTGTCCTGGACGCCCTGCCCCAGCTTATTTAAATTTTGCACGATGTTTTCCAAGAGCGCAGCCTTGGGATTCTCCCTTCCGATAATCATGCCAGGCCTCAGGATAATAGCATGCTCGAAATCAAGGTCCTTGATGGCGTCTTCCACGCCAACCTTCATCTTCGAATAGGGCACGTAGCGAGAGAGAAAGCCTCTGGTTCCTGCGCTCGAAATGAACACATACGTCTTGACGCCCGCCTCCTTCGCTGCTCGGGCGTTCTCTATGCACAAGTCGTGGTCGATCTTCCACTGATTCTGGAGTCCACCGGCCGTCGCTCTGGTGGTGCCGACTGCGTTGAAGACGACTGATGGCTTGGGTGAAAGGGAGGAGATCATGCCGCCCCATTTGGAAGTGTCGCCTTCTTCGACGGCTTCGAGCTTGGTTGACTGAACATTTGGAAGTCTCCTTGAGATAGTTTTGACGGATGAGAATGCGTCTATGGCGAGGAGTGTAGCGAGGATCTGAGAGCCCACTGCTCCTGTACAGCCGAACACCGCTGCCGTCGTCATGGTGGAATTTTCTATTCTATTGTTCCTATCTGTGGGTACTGTCTGTCTCCAACAGAATGCCAACCAGCGAGAAGAGAAAAGCAGTGAGGCGATGGAAAGAGAAATTGACTTCTGGATAGAGGGAATAACACAATCTAGATTCTAGGTGACAGCGATGACGCCTCCATAATGGCTTACGTTACCCATGACGGCTACTCACGTGATTCATCGCCAATATCAGCCATAAGTACCATGCTCACCTGCACCAGGTCGGCATCAACATCGTCTTCTCCACGAACACCGAGCCTTCTCACCCAGGAAGGCCATACTCTATTGAATCTTCAGAACAGGCTCTCAATCCAGGCGCCCTGCCTAGGATAAGGGACAGCTCCCCCTCCGCGCGCTGCCTGACACCCGCC